ATTTTTGCTTGACTTTTTATGTATTTTCCTTTTCCTCTTACAGGATATTAATTATGAAAGCAACAGTCCTTCAGAGAATATACTTAGAACCAATGGAATTTCTCCTGATAGTATTTGAATAACGGTTGTCTTTTCCATGTAATTTAGACAAAGCTTTATTGAAGAGCCAAGCTTAGTACTCTGCCCTGAAAGGAAATTTAACTTTCACAGTGTCACAGGTCCTGCTCATTCCAGCTCTTCCTTTCTCTGGGCTATAGTCCACATACATTTTGCCTAAAGTAAATTTCCTCTTTATATCATTAGTGAAACTATTAAGAATTGTATTCAATTCGTAGATGGAGATCCAGGCCCATCCTAGGGCAGGTTTGGGAGCGTGTGCTTTAGCATACTTACTTCTTTTGGGAGCCCTTCACACTTAACCGGTTTGAAAGCTTGCTGCTGGGGTCCATCTGCAAACATTTAATCATAAAGGTCAGGGCAAATGAGCCTTTGTCCACGTAGATTTTATACGTACATGTTTGCCTTAATGTCATTTATTTCTGGTTAATTTGATCTTTAAGCACTCCTTCCTGCTCTAGTGTAAGCTTTTCCAAAACTAACCGATGTTCAAAAACATTTATGTGACGTGTATTCTACTTCACAAGCATTGAATGTATATGATTGCCTCTTAAATGGACTTTGTTAGCGAGTGTTAAGAACCTTGATGGTAGCCATAGGAATACTCGTGGCCTTTTGTTTAATGGACGTTTGTATTGCTTATCCAAATATATGAAAATCTAAACAGTTTGCGATTCTTCATGCTCTCCATCCTTCCCCACTTCTACCTACTTATGCCCTGTTTACCTTCAGTTTACCAGGCAGCTACTAAGTTTCTGCCAAATGTAAAACATTTTGGAATTGGTGGCAAGCCAAGGTAGATCCCTTTTCCTTTTAAGTGTTTACATCCAGATGAGGGAGACAGGCCGGTAATGTGCTCTTAACTGTAGTAATAGCTTCATGGAAGGAGGTGGCCTGGAAAAGTGTGTAGAATTTTTGTTTAGTCTAGGCCTTAGGGAATTTAATGGGGAGGACAGGGAAAAGACATTCCAGGGAGAAAGAAAGAGAGTGTTTTGCTATCAATGCTCATTATGTATGTACCTGGAAACGGTGTGCTGAATTCTTCATTCAGAATTAGAGTTGCCTCTCCCACAGACTGGAACTGGCCATCTCTTTCCCGTGTGTGTTTCTGTTGTGGCACTTACAGAACTTTACTGTACTTTCTAACCCTCTGACTCTCCTCCATCACATTTTTCGAGGACAGGAGCCGTGTCTGCTACATCCCTATATCCCCAGCGCCTCACTCAGTTTCTGGAACACACTTGGCTTGCCTGGAATGTTTGCCAGTGAATATCTGTGTAGCTGAGTGCTGTCCCTTTTGTAGACTGTGTACTTGCCCCAGCAGCGATGCTGCCGGTGAAAACATTTGGGGCTCTTTGGTTTAGAGTGAGTAGTAACAGAGGTGGTTGAAAGAGGCCAGATAATTACTCAGACAGGACCTCAGATGGGTTTCATCTTCAGCTTGGTGTGTCCAGAAACTGTTTTGTCCCTGTCTTCAGATTTGATCGGACTCGGTGATAATTGACTCAGGCTGTGTAGCACAGTAGAATTTTAGGCTTTGGGAACCAAGAGATCTCAGTTAAATTTTGGCTGCAGTGTCTACTAGTTTTCTCATCTGAAAAACAGAACGGAAACTAATAGAACTAATGAGACAATTAAAAAAGAATGTATATAAATTATATACTGCTGTTTCCACAGTAAGCACAAATAGTAGCAATTGTTGATCACTATTGTTATGATAATAAAACTTAGCAGATACTGATTTACAAACTAAATGTCAGCTCTATTAATTTACAATATTTTTGAATCTACCAAATAGACCGAAATTATTGTGTTCACTCTGTGTTCTTTCCCAGTTAGGAAATTTGGCCTCAGAAAGACTGCTTAGAGAATCAAGAGAAATAGATTAATTGTGTCAATGGCTGCCATCACCACGCCCTGATCACCTGATGCGGTCATCTTCCGGGAAGGGGTTAAGCTGTCCTGTCAGCAGAATTTACTGGGTTCTACTCACTCTGGACACTTAACAAACTCTTCTCTGCCCTTCGGCAACTCCAGATTGACTAATTACTTCTTTCAACTCATTCCTCAAATGTGGACATCGTTAATTTTAATTTCTGTCATGATCAGATTTGTGTCAGATTTTGGGGGTATTTTCTGCTTATGTTTGGAAGATATCTTGTCTCAAAGTGGCTTCTACAAATTGTTGCTATTATCCATCATCCGTAGGATTAATTCTAAGGGTAAATCTGTTTCAAGGTTTGGGGAGTTACTTGCACCCCCTTTGTGCACGCTGTTTTTGGCATTGTAAAACATTGTTTTAAATAGTCTCGATGGGAAGTTTCCACCTTTGAAAATAAGTATGATCTGTAAGTGACAGTTGAAAGTCAGACACTGGCAGGCGAAGTCGGCCAGTTTGGTAAGAGGAGAGGCACCGGCTTAGTCCAGGAGTCGTGTCAGTAAATAACGTTTCCTTGAATGCTGTCTTATGAAGAGTTCTCACAGGGCAGGGTTCTGAAGCATTCTGAGCCACGACAGTAAGAGTGAACGGTCGGAGTAACTGCCCAAGTTAATCCTTCTGATGAGAATGGTGGTCACTTTTATAGATGCTTTAAAAAACATATTCAGTTGTTTCACATGCTCCATCTTGTCCATGAAAGTTTCTGTCTTCAAGCTGTCTTCTGACTCTCAGTCTTCCAGCTCAGTGGTTCTCATGCTTTTCGGTCTTGGACTGCATTACACATTTAAAAATTACTGAGGATTTCAAAGAGCTTTTCTTTATGTGAGTTATATCTGTCAATGAAACAATGAGAAATTTATTTACATTCATGTACAATTAACAATAATGAACCCATTGAATAATACTATAAAAATTTTTATGAAAAATAGCTTTCTTTTTCTAAATAAACAACAACAAAAAATGTAGTGAGGAGTGACAGTTTTACAGCTTTACAAATCTCTTTAATATCTGGCTAAATAGAAATTAAGTGGGTTCTCCTCTTTTGTATCCAGTCTCTTACTATATATATGTTGTCCAGTTAAAGTACGTTAAGAATATCTGACCTCATAGATACATAGTTGGAAAAAGGAGGAGTATTTTAAGATCTTTTCAGATACTAGGCCAAAATTCAACAAGTACTAGTTTTCCTTAAAGGTAGTTGCAATATAAAACATAACATATACGTGAATTTTTCAGACATTAAAACTCATGGATCTGTCTTATACATGGAGTGAATCTTTTATGTGTAATCATGTACCGGTCATCTGGAAATACTGGTTCATTAAGTTCTGCAGATTTTTCAAGTACTGACACATTTTGTTAAATGTCCAGAAAAATCGCATTTGTTAAAATCAGCGGCTTCACCAAAAAGGATCTTAAGTATTGGGAAGCTAGCTGTGAAGCTCACAGTGGAGGGTAGAAGTTTTCCAAAGTTCAAATAATAAAAGTGTATTCCATGAAAAAAGCATCCAACTGACTCACACAATTGCTTTACCCAGAGAAGAGTCATTGCATTTCAGTTGGGAGAAGTGCTTTATCTGCGTGAGGCTGGGGAAACCCAAAGACTGCCTTTACTTCAGATGCCAACTGCAGAGTTCGGGGCCCCAAGAGCACACTCAAACACTAATTGCAAGTTTGGGGTCCCCAAGACCACCTTCAGGTTTAAGAATTCGTTAGAAGGACTCAGAACTCACTGAAAGTGGTTCTCTTCACGATTATGGTTTACTGCAGTGAAAGGAATCGGGTTAAAAGTCAGCCAGGGGGAGAGATGTAATGGGACGAAGTCCGGAAGAATTCCAAATGTGGGCTTCTAGTTGTCATCTCCCCATGGAGTCGTGTGTGACAGTGTGTGACAGTGTGTGACAGCGTGCCCACCAGGGAAGTGCACCTGAACTTCGATGTCCAGAGTCATTATGGGGCTCTGTCATGTGGACAGGGTAAACTGCCCAGACAGACTTCAGCCTCCAGCCCTCTGGTACCAGAGCTGACACCAGAGTTCTGGCCGACCCAAAGCCCCCACATCGTTAGACTATCTGGGTGGTTCAAGGCCCCTAGTAAACAAGGACACTTCTCAGGCAGGATAGTCCCAGAGGCTTAGACACTATCTCCCAGCAGCCTAGGGCAAAGGCCAGACCTCTTTTGTCAAAGTTAAATTCTTTATTACCAGTATGTTTTCCCGAGTCATCACAAAGAATATTTTAAAAAGTACTCGAGGGTTGCTATTCAAAAGAACAAGTAACTTTTACCGCCTTTTATGTAAGACTGTTTTTGCTTGTAGTGGGTTTTTTACCCGTGAACGCTGTGTGCTAATAGCGTTTGGTGCCACGGCCTTGACTGTCCCGGGTGCCCGCAGCTTTAGCCACCGTTGCTGTTGCACTGTCTGTGCAGGTGGCAACAGTGAAGAAGACAAGTAGCATCTTAATGTTTATGAAAATAGTTTCGACCTGGCGCAGGCCCTCAGCCTCCCTGCTCCAGCTCGCACCTCCGTCCTTCTGTAGTCGGCAGTCTTTGCCTTGTTTTATAATAAGATCTCACCTAGCACCTAGACCACAGGTTCAGGGCAGGTTAATTTTCATCTTTGTCGTCTCCATTTTACCTGCCATAGTGCTTTGTACATGATAGAAATGCAGTAAATATTCGCTAAATTAATGTGTAGAGCCTTTTCATCACTTTAGGAAATCTTTTTAGAACTTTGGCTTCAGTTGAAAAAAACACAAAGAGTGGACTGCTCTTCTTCCCGTTTGTGATATGCTCTTTTTTCTTTTGTTGTGTAGAAGGGTTGTCAAATCTGTGCTGATTCCTAAGAAACTTGAGAATCAGCTTTGATTACATTTCCCCCGCTGACATTTAAATCAGTCACCCGAATTCTGCTTGCCGTCACCCTAACTTCAGTCTGGGTGCAGGCATGCCTCCTCCAGATTCCTGCCACAGACCCCAGCCTTCTCTCCACATCTGGTTTGAGTCTCAGGTCCCGACTGGCCTCCAGGACGATCTGTTTGAAATTCCGGTAGCGCTAGCTCATACTTACATAGCGCTCAGCACTCTTAACACGGTGAATCCTCAGCAACCTTGTGAGGGGGCTCCTGTTTGTTATCCTCACTTTACGGATGAGAAACCTCAGGCTCAAAGAAGTGACCCGCAGGTCTGGGTCTGGAGTCCTAGCCATCTGCTCTGCACTATCTAGACCGCTTCTCACTGCGTCACTTAAAATTCCTTGCCCTCGCTGAGAAGCCGGAGCGCGGGCTCCTGAGCGTGGCGTCGGAGACCTTCTGTGTTCTGACTTCCTCTCGCGCGCAGAACTTCGTTATCTCCTGCCGCTTTCATGCTGCAAGCTTAGCAATTCAAATCTGCTTGTAGTTTACCTGCATGTGGTGCTTTGTATAATCCCTGCGCCTTAGCTGATGTCCCCTCTGCCTGGTATGCCTGCCTATGCTCCATTTACCTAACCAATTCGGTGGGAGCTCCACAAGGAGGTTTTCTCCATCTTTTTCCTTTGTCCCGTCCCCCCACTAGATAAGGAGCTGACAGTTTAATGGAGAGAAAAATTAAAAGCTGATATCTGTGTAATAAGTATAAGTTAGTGAGAAAGATAATTATAATGCATAAGGAGGGTAAATACTTCACAATTAGCTGTTTGGTCCTATAGTCCAGACTACGCTACCACTTCCTCTGAGGGCAGGGGTTCTCTTTATGCCATCGCTGTTTGTTATATAAACAAAAAAAAATTTTCTGAATACACGAATATAGCTCTTCTCCTAAGTTATATTTCCTATTGTATAATTTCTTCCAAATCTTCAAAATTATGAAAAGTCCTTTTTATAGACTTTTGGAAAATTATAGAAGTGTAGATTTCTAGGGTTTTATATTTTTAAATAATGACTTTTCCTTCTCTCTCTCTTTTTTCCTTTGAAGCTCCTTGTCCGACTTGAAGGGAGAAGTTCCTTAAAAGAAATAGAACCATGTCTGTTTGCTGATGAAGATTCACCTGTGCATGGTAAAAACAATCTCAAACCAAAATATATTGTCATAAATTACGATTTGTAAAACAAGTGTTTTTTCATATATGTTCACATACTCCTAGCAAGAGGCTTTATAGGGTACACTATAAAATGAAAACTGAGAAGCAGATCATGACAGCACTTTTAAGCCTTCCTTATCTATGTCAGATGAGATGAAGTTTGGCTTATCTACGGTAGATCTTCAAAATTAGCATTGACCTCTTTTATCCCAACACAGTATTTATGAGAATTTTGTTATATTTTTTATCCTTTAGAAGTTGGAGAATCGCAGGAAAGTCCTTAGGTACCTTCGTTCTGTTAATATTTCTAGAGTAGGGAAAATACATACCTAGTTGTTCATTAGAATTTCTACGGTAGGGACAAATTTGCAAAGAAGGTAGTATGCTTAGGTTGTTTTTTCCTTTCTCTTTTCTTTTTGAATGTAACAGTGTTATCGAAGTAGAGCTCACACACTCGAGTGCACAGTTCAGGGATCTTTGTATCCACACGGCTGTGCAGCCATCAGCACCATCGCTTTCAGAACATGTTCCTCACCCCGAAGAAACTCAAGCCTGTTAGCATCACGCCCCGTTTCTTCCAGCAGAACTCGGCCCTAGGCAACTGCTAATCTGCTTTCTAACTTCATAGATTTGCCCCTTTTTTTCAGGCAAAGCAACCCTTGGTTGACCTCGTCAGTTTACAATCCCTTATTTTTTTTATTTTTAACACCTACAGCACCTGGTCTTCCTAGGTGGTCTCCCATCCAAGTACTAATCAGGCCGGACCCTGCTTAGCTTCCGAGATCAGACGGAATTGAGCTTGTTCAGCGTAGTGTGGCCTTAGACTAGTTCATTCCTTTTTATTATTGAATAATACTCTATTGTGTGGGTATGCCACCTTTTATTTATCCATTCATCAGTTGATGAACATTTGGGTTGTTTGTAGTTTTTGGCTGTTATGAATAATGCTATGATTATTTGTGTACAAGTTTTTCTGTAGTTATGTGTTTTCAGTTCTCTTGAGTAATAGCCATGAGAGGGACTGCTAGGTTTTATGGTAATTCTTTATGTAACCTTTTGTAGAACTGCCAGACTGTTTTCCAAAGCAGCCGTACAGTTTACATGCTACCAACAGTGAAATGTATGATGGTTCCAATTTCCCCACATCGTGCAAACAAATGTTTTTGAGTATAGTGACTTCCCAGGGAGTATGCAGTGATGATGTCACTGCGGTTTTGATTATATTTCCCTGATGGCTAGTGATGTTAAGCATCTTTGCATGTGCTCATTGGCAATTTAAAATTGGGGTTTTTTTTTTGAGTTGTAAGAGTCCTTTATATATCTTAGATACAAGTTCCTTATGAACTGTATGATCTGCAAATATTTTCTCCTATTTTGTGGGTTGTCTTTTTACTACCTTTATTGTGTCCATCGAAGTACAAAGTTATTAATTTTGATGAAGTCTAATTTATCTGTTTTTTTCCCTTTTGTTGTTTATGCTTTTGGTGTAGTTAAGAAGCCATCGCCTAAACCAAGGTCAGGAAGATTTAGAGCTTTTCTAGTTATTGATTTCTGTTTTTATTCATTTCTGATCAGAGAACATCTGTGATTTCAATCTTTTAAAATTACTGAGATTTGTTTCATGGCCAAACATTTGGTCGATCTTAGAGAATGTTCCATGTGCTCTTGACAAAAATGTGTATTCGGCTAGTTGGGGCCAGTGTTTCATTGATGTTTTAGTTCCAGTTGGTTTTTAGTGTTGCTCAAGTCTTCTATTTCTGTGCTGATCTGACTAGTTCTATCCATTATTGAAAGCGGGCTATTAAAGGTTCCAACTATTATCGTTGAATTGTCTATTCCTCCTTTATCTCTGTCACTTTTTGATTCACGTGCTTTGAGGCGTCATGTATTACTGGGCACAAATAAGTTTTTATTATATCTTATTGATGGATTGACCATTTATCTTTATAAAATGTTCTTTTTCACCTCACATACATCAGGATGGCCACTACCAAACCCAGAAAATAACAAGTGTTAGTGAGGATGTGGAGAAATTGGAACCCTTGTGCGTTGACAGGATTATAAAATGGTGCAACCACTACGGAAAACAGTACGGAGGTTCCTCCAGAATAGCTACCATATATCTCAACAGTTGCCCTTCTGGGTATATAATGTATCCAAGAGAATTGAAAGCAGGGCATTGCAGAGGTATGTGTGTGCCCGTGTTCATAGCAGCGCTGTTCATGGTAGCTAAGAGATGGAAGCCAGCCAAACATTCGACGGATGAATGGATAAAAATGCAGCATGTACATTCGATGGAGTATAATTTAGCCTCACAAAGAATGAAATCCTGACACATGCTGCAACATGGATGAAGCTTGAGGATGTGCTAAATGAAATAAGCCAGTCACGAAAAGAAAAATACTTGCACGATTCCACTTGCATGAGGTATCTAAAGTAGTTAAATTCAGAGAAACCAAGTAGAGTGATGGTTACCCAGGGCTGGGGGTGAGGGTGGAGGGGGTCGTTCGACGGGTACGGAGTTTCAGTTTGCAGGAGGTAAAAGTGCTGGAGATCTGTTTCACAGTAACATGAATATGCTTAACACTACTGAACTATACATTTAAAAATGGTTAAGATGGTATATTTTATGTGTGTGCCTTTCTTTGTCTCTAATCATTTTTTTCTAAAAGTATGTTTTGTCTAATAATAGCATAGCTGCTCATCTTTCTTTTGGTAACTGTTCGCATGGTATATCTTTTTCTGTCCTTTCCCTATCAACCTGTTTGTAACTAGGAATGTAAAGTGTGCCCATTTTAGACAGCCTGTCGTTGGATCATGTATTTTAATTCCATTCTGCCAATCTCTGCTCTTTTTTTTTGTTTGGACTGTTTAATCCATTTATAGCAAATAATTACCAATAAGATAGTGTTTATGACTGCCATTTTGCTTTCTGTTTTATATATGTCTTATGTCCTTTTTGTTTCTCTGTTCTTCTTTTACTGTTTTTTTTTTTTGTGTTTAATAGCTATTTTGTAGCATACCAAGTTAATTCTTTGTCATTACTTTTACTTTTTCAAAAAAATATCTTACTATTAGTTGTCCTGAGGATTACAATTAATATAATAATTTATGACAATTTAGTTTAGATTAATACTATCTTAATTTCATTTTATAGTATTTTATAAAATACTATTTTATAAAAACTTTGTTACTGTTGTCTTCATTCCTTCCTTCTTTTGTGCTGTTATAAATTACATATTTACATATTGTATGCCCATAAACATTTAAAATTATTAATTGATATAATTGAAATTATTACTTAAGGCAGTTGTTTCTTAAAACAGATAAAGTTACAAATATAAAACACATTTATACTATCTTTCCTATTTACTCATCTAGTTACATTTACTTGCACTTTATCTAGTTACATTTACTTGTATTCTTTATTAACTTTGTTGGATTCAAGTTACTGTCCACGGTACTTTCATTCAGCCTGAGGAATTCCCTTTAATATTTCTTATAGAGCACATGTATTAGCAAATAAAATTCTAAACTATCAATAATAAAATACAAATTTTATGATCAAGTTAGACAAAAGATCGACTGTCTTTCAATTCTCTCTATCACAAAGGATATTAATAAGTGGAAGCTTATGAAACTGATGTTGAAATGTGAGTATGCAGCATAGCTTATACATTTGAATGTTACATTTATAGAAACTTCAAAAACTCCATCTGTTCAATCACTAACAAAGTTTACTTAAAACTATCGTAGATCTTGGAGCTGTAAAACTAGTTAAATGAATACTCACTGGAGCAATAGCGCACGTAAAACTGGGATTATAAAGATTACTGATCAACAGCAGTAATTTATCAGAAATTATAGAGAAGCTCAGGTAGAAGCAGTAAGAGATTTAGGGGTTATGATGTCTCTAAGGCTGTTGTAAAACATTTTTCAATGCTTTTTTGGATAGTAGTTATTGGGTACCATATAACAATATTTTACCTCTTTGGTACTGTAATGATTATAATCTGCAAATTTATCTATTATACAATTTGTTGGTACCAAGATGATGTGTTTTTGGCTGTTTTTTCTTTTCCTTGTTTTGAAGGATCTTTAGTATCTTAAACTCACCGTGGCAATCTGTTATCCAGACCTTTACAGCATTCCATTTGTGACAGTAACAAGACTTAAGCCATCCAGATTTTCTGATTAGTTTAATTCGTCAAGTGCCAAGCAGTAGAGAGTTGTTGGTTTTTTTTTTTTTTTTAACTGCTCAGTACTTGTTGTCATACTCAGTGCTTTGACTGGGCATGGGTGTAATATTTTTAGCAGCTCATAGAAACATGAGCTAGTGTCTTCAAATACACTGAAAATGACTGTGTCCCCTCTATAAAACATGTTTGAACACACTTTTTGGTCTTATAAAATTAGTTGTATAAAATTAGTGAAACCGATTTCAGTTAATCATTAAACATATTTGCAGGGAATCTAGTTCAAGGACCTTATTGATCATATTCATATGTAATTTGCAAGTTTGTACATTTTGCTTCCCCAGTTTTTATAAATTACTTTTTTTTTTTTACCTGCTTTGCTATTAATCTGTAAAAGGAGAAGAGTGTTTTATATACCTGATAACCTCTTAACCAAGGCCTTAACCTTCGACTTGGCCTCAGTTGCATTCGTGCGGAACCAAAGATCTCAGGAATCCATATGGTCCAGCAGCTATTTCTTAGTGTGTGGTGTTTTAGAAACCCGCGTCCGCTGGTAGGAGAGTGCTCACAGAGTTATTCCTTCTCATTACACGGAAGGGCGTTTATGAGCACCACCCCTCTCCAAGAAAACATTTGGCAAAATTTTCATTTTTTCCCTATTCTGAGAATTCCAGATATACCTCACAGTTACCCTCTCACCAGGGCCCTGTGTTTTTATCCCTGTGGACTCCCCTCCCTTACACCTCGGGATATGGTACATTTTTCTTAAATTATCTTCATTTAAATCTTCAGCTTCATAGAACTGCTATTGAATTTTTTCTTTTTTTTTTTACTTTTTAAATGAGTATAAACCATTGTATTTTTTTTTTAATTCCTTGTGCATTCCCCGACTTCCTAGAAGCTGGGTGATCTTTGATGTTACTCTAAAAGCAGTGACTGCTCCCTGCAGTGCCTTTTCAGTCTGCTGGTATCTCAGTTTTTGAAGTTTGGTTCATAAAATAATACTTATATGAAATGTGCTTTTGCAAACTACACATTTACTGCTGTTAGGTCACTATCCAGTGAGAGATCTGTTTCCTACCTCTCCCCTGCCATTTTTTGTTTTTAGAACTTTTCTGCTGCATTTAGTACTATTTAGTACTATTTCATTTTCTTGAAACCTCATTTGTACTCTGTTGTTTTCCCTTCTGACTTTTCTGTTCAGTTTTTGTTTCATCTGACTTCTCTAACTATAGTGGTATCCCAAGAATGGAGTGTTTGCCCTTCCATTTTTAATTTGAAGGTTATTCTCACCTACCGAAAAGTTTCTGTTCTCTATTTCTGTGTAGCTTTCTCCCAGATTTTTGTATCCAGCCTCTAATTATTGTCTTGAATCTTAAATTTTTGTGGCCATAGGACATTTTTATTTTGTGACTCCTAGAGCTACATTTCAGCATACCATTTTGAAAGCTAAATTCATGTTAGGATATTTATGTGAATTTGTGAATTAAAAACCCTTACGTTGCTTATGTATTATGTATGTGAGAAGAACTTCTAAATCACTACCCTTGCCTTCTGAATCTGAGGGGGGCTGACGGCCTGACAGCAGCTAAGTCTCAGCACAACTTGGGGGGATGGACAGCAGGTGGGGGGCTAGAGTAGCACTGGACAGTTTATTCCTGTTCTTGCTTCATCTTCTGTTTTAGTCCCTTGTTCCAGGCCTTGCTCCTGGGCATTCACACTTGCTGGACTCTGCCAACCAAAGGCCCCCCCAACTTCCTGCCTGTGACTCCTTACCAGATCTGCTTCCTTTCAAAACTCCACAAACCTTGAACCTTCACCAAGTCAGGACTTCGCTGTTCATTCTCTAGTTGTCTCTCAAGAAGTTCTTAAGAAAGTAATCTGATGAAGTGCATTCAGAAGATAACTTTGTTTTGTGCTCGGAATGTGGCATTCAAGTCCCAACCTTAGGGCCGCTGACAAGAGACATAACCAAGTCAGAAGTCAGAATTACATAGCAGGATGAGTGTGACCGCGGAAGATGGTAAAGTTTGCTTCTCTTACCTCTGCGTTGTTAGGATCAGGTGAGGTGTGAAGAAGCCCCTTTTCGTGTGTAAAGTGCTGTAGGAAGGTCGACTGCTGCTGATCAGCCTCTTCTGCCTGCTTTTCTGGGGAGCAGAGAGGGAGCATTTGGAGCAGTTTCCGTGTGGTCCCTTCATTGTGTCTTACAAACCACTTCAGCTTAATCTTGCTAAACTGTTTTCAACTTTCCTTCACTACCATTAATATTCTGTCAACGTTTCTTCATCCAGTACATGTAATTTATGCTCCTTCTATAATATAAGGCAGTAAAAGACTTATCTGGGGGCAGCTTAGCTCCTCAGTAATAACAGTAGGAGAGAGAAAACTGAACGTCTACGTTGAATAGTTTTAGTCACTATGTTAACTTTTAATAAGAGCACCTATGAACAATTGTTAATGTGAAAATAGTTTCACTCCTTGAAGCTGGAATCTTTTTGAGGGGGTTAGGGAGTCTCTTTAATGTAAATTTTGAATCGCAAATTGTATGTGAGATTGTAGAAGAAACTAGCTGAAGTTTTATACTACCTAAATATGGTGTGGGATGGCAACTTGCTAGATTTCTTACGCATTATTTGTGAATGTTCCAACATATAATGGTTTATTAGTAATATTAGGAAATAAAGTAACTGGATTCTCAGACTATGTCATGTGTCTGGGACCTAAGAATTTGCACTTCTAACATGGTGTTTTCAGTTTTGTAGTTCGGCCATAAATTAAATGGCAATAGTTTAAGCAAGAATTGGAAGGCCATTGTTGAGAGCGAATATTGAACAGCTCTGGAGGCAAGACAGTTTCCCCGGGTGTTTAATTTGTGCTTTCCTGGATGAACGAGAGTAATTGGAACCTATATAGGAGATTTGGCGTCTTCAAAGTGCAGAGTAGTTGACTTTGATTTATAATGCCAGGAGAAGAATTCGCATGCAGATGTCATCCTGACTGGACAGTTTCAAGAGAGATTCATATAGCAAAGAGTAAGCGAAGGCAGTTTGGAAACGTGTAGACGTGCCTGTAAGAGAAGTCCAGCCCGGTGGCTCACCAGATAGAGGCTCATTTTCCTCATGTCAAGAGCGGTCTCGAGGCAGGCCGTGCATGGCTGGTCCTGGATGCCATATTGGGATCCAAATCCTGGGTTCCTCTTGTTCTCTGCCCCACCCTCCTTAGGGGCCACCTTTCTTCCTTCTTGTTTCAAGGTAGCTGCTTGACTGCCAGAGAAGGAAGTGGCAGAGCAGTGACACCTGCAGCCAGAAAGCAAAACTTAGAAATCCCACCAGACATCTGTGTGTGTCTCATTGTTGACAGCTAGGAAACCTGGTGAGTCTTCTTTGCAAAGGAGACTGAGAAAAACAATTTTTAGATTGAGCACGTCACCTTCTCCAATTGGATTTACATGTCAGGAAAAAGGAGAGAATGGACATTGGGTGATCAGTTACCAGAAATAGTGTGCACCATAGTAATCAATAGAGTTTTGAAAGGCCCTAGATCTGTGGCACTTCAGTCTTAACTCTCCTGTAGCACCGGTGTGAGTGTGAGTGTGAGCGCACGCACGCTCATCCCAGGTGATTCCCTTAGGCCCCGATCAACGTTGTCATTCACTTTTTCAAATTTCTTTGATGTTAATTAGTAACTGACTTCTTTCTCAGAGGTGAAATTTAATGACTTACTTTTAATTTCCTTATTTATGTATATTTGCTTATGGCAAATAGATTTGGTTATTTTTTTTTTTACATTCCAGTAAATGGCTTTCAACACTTTTGCAGTTGCAGACTTTTCACTTTGTAGCCTAGTATTATTGTGCTGATGCATTTTGACTGACATTTTTAAATTTTACACAGGTGAGATTCTTGAATTTCATGGTCCAGAAGGAACAGGAAAAACTGAAATGCTGTATCATTTAACAGCACGATGTATACTTCCAAAATCAGAAGGTGGACTGGAAGTAGAAGTCATGTTTATTGATACAGATTACCACTTTGATATGCTTCGACTTGTCACGATTCTTGAGCACAGACTGTCCCAAAGTTCTGAAGAAGTAATAACACACTGCCTTGGAAGATTGTTTTTGGTGCACTGCAGTAGCAGCACCCAGTTACTTCTCACACTTTACTCACTAGAGACCGTGTTCTGCGGCCACCCCTCCCTGTGCCTTCTGATCTTGGACAGCCTGTCCGCCTTCTACTGGATAGACCGTGCCAACGGAGGAGAAAGCGTTAGCGCACAGGAGTCCACGCTGAAGAAGTGTTCTCATTTCTTAGAGAAAGTCGTGCGTGAGTATCGCTTGGTTCTCTTTGCCACGACGCAGAGTCTGATGCAGAAGACCTCGCATGCGGCGGCCGGGCCTTCCTCCGCCTTCAGCCTCCTGGGCGCCTGCGCTGGCGCTGGCGCTACCGCTGCCGCTGCGGACTTCCGGCCCTACCTCTGCCTGGCATGGCAGCAGGCGGTGCAGCGCAGAGTGTTCTTCTCCAGAGATGATTCGGGACCCAGGAACCAGTTTTCTTTAGTCTCACGTCATTTAAAAAGTAACAGTTTAAAAAAACATTCTTTTATTATTGGAGAAAGCGGGGTTCAGTTTTGTTGATACGTATCGGAATAGTCTTGTAGGATATTATGTCAGTTTAAAAAGTCTTTAATAGGCTAAAGTGATTCGGTTATGAAATTTTAAACTAAGGGAATTGACAAACCAGTATTTCCACACAAAATGGATTTCTTATGAAGTAGTACAGTAAAACCTCAGAATATTCTGTTCCTAGGTCATTGAAAGTTAATCAAAGTGACATTAACAATTAAACTGTATAATAAGCTTGTTTTAAAACTAAATAAATAATATACATATTTCAGCCCAAATAAAATAGACTTTTATAACTTCGCACATTTCCGTGACTCAGTGACATACTTACTGCTTAAAGAAGTTTCAGTGCATTTCCAGGTTCTCCTACGTAGCTCCTGTAGGAAGCTGTGACTGGGGACAGTATTTCTGTAGAGCGATTGTTTCTATAAAGGGGATGAAAACAAGGAACCTGCCC